AATAATATTAAATACTAATATTTAATAAATTACTTTCTATTGATATATTGATTATATTTAATAATATTTTTTAATGTCAGTTTAATTCCAATTTTTTATACAGTTAAGCATTCGACGAAAAATTGTGTATCGTTTAATCTCGCTTATCAATTAACTACTGTAAAATGACTTTATATTCGAAAAACATTCTGAATTGCAGTGATGAGAATCCGATGACGCTACAAAAAATTTTATTTTCACGAAGTCGTATCACATTGATAGGTGACAATTCGCGCAAGGTGAATTTGTCCCATATGTAGGCCTTTCAACAGCCGAGCGGCCTTTGACTCGGGCGGCAGTCAGGCTCTCGGGCACCCCGGCCCGTTCACGCATCAATAATGAAATCTTTATAAATCTGAATCCGGCCCCCGATACCGTGATCGTAAGATATTCAATCGGACGTATTCATATATATATATATATTCAGGCTCGATTATATACAAAAACAATGTTATAGAATTATCCCTAATATAACGGGGAAGCATATGGATACACTCAAGCGGGTGTTATAGTATTTATGATGTTTATTTTATAAAATTTAAGTACATGAATAAATTAAGCGAAAATAGAAAGAGATATATATAGACGCGTGTTCTTTGCTTCGCGTTGTCTATTATTTTAAAATAAATGGTACTCACTTAGTATCGATAAAGTTAATGGTGTTTGGTCCTTGGCGTAATATTATTATTTTACTTATGTGGTCTTCCTTCCTTTTTAAACAAATTCAATGATCCGTCAAATGTATATATATATATATTCAATAGGTAGTGGCAATTTCTATATTTTTCTGCCCGTAGCGGCGCAAAAAAAATTATATGTACGATTGCGGCCTTTCTTTGTTTTTCTATCAAACACTCAAGCTCTGACAAACCAAACTTTACTAAACTCTAATTTTAATTAATAAGATACCGGATGAACTGTGACAAATCAAACCTTACTTAATTCAAATTCTAATTAGTAGATGCAGAATAAACTCTCATGATTTTAAAATAGACTCAAAAAAATCGCAGCCTTCTTACTCGAGCGCTCAGTCCTGACTGACTAATCTGGCTGAATTGTTAAATTTTGTCTTTGACCATCCAATGTATGACATACAATCTATTATGACTGATTCAGAATCATCTTATGCACAATATTTCATCGACATAATGAATGAAGCGATTAATAATGAAGTATTCATCGACACGTATGATACTTTGTGCTTTAATCAAGGTAGTGTACTGGCTGATGAAGTTGTTATAGTAGAAAGGAATGGTATAATCGATAAATTTGATGAGAATACGTTTGAAGAAAACATAGCAGGTATTTTTTTGTAAACTTATGTAATGTTTTCTTTTAAAGAAAATAGTCTAATTTATTCACGTACCAAACTCCTGTTTGTCTTTTTTCAATGTCTTTGAAGTTTTAGTACAATCTCTTATTTTACTACTAATTTAGATTTTCTAGAAATGAAAATGTTAATGCATGAAATAAATCTTTAAATTCACTTTATATCGGATCTTTTTTTGTATTAATTTCTTTGTAACAACTTTAACCTGGTATCTTAGTTGTCATAGTCATTTGCAATTCAGCATCTTTGATCGGTTCCCTTTCTTGAGAACCTTCAATACACTTTAATTGATTTTTTAGTTAAAATTATCACATAATTTGTCTTATATATACATTAAAACATCACTCTCCAATGATTTGATTGTTTGAAAAGCTGTTTAAGTACGTCAAATTGATATATAAAAGTGTTAGGGTGATACGATGACTGGAAATAAGACTCTTTAACAATATTCATAAATGTAGGGATAAGTTTTCTGACATATACTTAGATAAACCTTTTTTATCTAATGTTAATCTAGAGTATGACTGATACACCATTTACGAGGGTGGTCCGATAAGTACTTAGCCTACAAAAGAAAAACGAAAATTTTGGAAAAGTGGCTATTTATTTTTCAACATAGTCTCCTTTTAGTTCGATACACTTGGCCCAGCGATGCTCCAACTTCTTTAACCCGTCTGAAAAATACGTTTCCTCGAGGTCTGAAAAGTAGGCTTCCGTGGCAGCGATTACCTCCTCATTCGACTCAAATTTCTGTCCGGCGAGTGACTTTTTCAAGTTTGGAAACAAAAGGAAGTCGCACGGGGCTAAATCTGGAGAATATGGAGGATGGGGCAGCAGTTCGTAACCTAATTCGACCAATTTGGCCATGGCGACGGTGGAGGTGTGAGCCGGTCCGTTGTCATCGTGGAAGAGCACTTTTTTCTTCGCCAAATGGGGCCGTTTTTTCTGCAATTCGACGTCGAATCGGCCCAATAATTCGGCATAGTACAGCCCTGTGACCGTTTTGCCCCTCTCCAGGTAGTCGATGTAGATCACACCTTGTGAATCCCAGAAAACGGTGGCCATCACCTTTCCGGTTGATGGGGCAGTCTTCCCCTTCTTCGAAGCACTTTCGCCGGGTAAAGTCCACTGTTTCGACTGTTCATTGGTCTCTGATGTATACCAGTGGATCCATGTTTCGTCGACTTTCACAAAACGACGCAGAAACTCCTTCGGATTGCGCTTAAACAGGGTCAGACATTGCTCTGAAGTTGTCTTACGGTTGCGCTTGTTGTCCGGAGTGAGCAAACGCGGCACAGCTTCACGCCGACAGCTTTCTCATGCCCAAAATTTCATGCAGGACATGACCCTCGCGGTCTTTTGAGATGCCTACGATCTTAGCTATCTCGCGCACCTTCAATCGTCGATCTGCCAATACGAGATCGTGAATTTTTGTCACGTTATCCTCCGTGGTAGCCGTTTTCGGAGCACCTGGACGTGGCTCTTCAAAAATTGACGTGCGACCACGTTGAAACTCGTTAAACCAATTTTTGACGGTCGCCATCAAAGGAGAAGAGTCACCGTACACAGCATCCAAGCGCTTTTTGATTTGGCTGCGCGATTTCCCTTCCAAAAACAAGAATCGAATCACCGACTGATACTGCTCTTTTTCCATTTTTTAAAAATTAACGGACACACTTGCTTTGACACGCTCTCAAAAATAAACTACAACTCCGATCCGGCTAAAATCTTGACAGTAACCATCGAGAAGGTTGTACTACGTGATAGAATATTTCTTTTGCGAGAGTGGCGCCATCGAGCGGTGAGGCTAAGTACTTATCGGACCACCGTCGTACAAGGAAAACATAGTTAACTGCGTGCTTTTATGTTGACCTAACAAAATATTGGCTATTTTGAAATCTTAATTTAATCGCTACTTTTAAATATCATACTATAATTTTTTGACTAGAGAATAGAAACTATTATATTTTTCTTTTAAGACCATTTTTTTATGACCATATTGTAAAGGATATATATGTCCATTCTGAAGCAAGGCAGTTTTCGAAGTCCTTACTGTTGAATCGATAAACATTTCTAAGGTATTAGAATTGTTCACTTCTTAAGCATCTACAGTAAAATATTTTCCGTAATATTTTTTAATTTATCAGTGGATTTTTGCTTTTTATTCTTGAAAATATTGTAATAGATAGAGATAATATATACAGAGAAAAAAACCGTAACTGATAAACATTTTTACCAAATTCACTCTCTGTTATTGAGGCTTATTATATCATGCATACGAGGTCTGTTTAAAAAGTATCGCGAATTTTGTATGTTTTCAAAAATTATTTATTTATTCATGCATATCTATTTTATCTCCTTCATAGTAATCCTCCTCAGTTATAATGCACTTGTGCCAACGTTTTTTACAATCTTCAAATACCTTTTCGGTCTTGGCTCATGTGGTAGCTTCCATTGGGATGATTGAGCTTTGGTTTCCACATCACAACCATAAACCCGTGATTTATCACCAGTTATAATCCTCTGGATCACAATTGGGTCGTCACGGATCGAGTCCAACATCTCCTGAGCAATGTTAATGCGATGCTGTTTTTGGTCGAAATTGAGCAGTTTTGGCACGAATTTCGCGGTGACCTGGCTCATGTCCAAATCATTGGTTAAAATCGAATGACATGAGCCAATCGATATGTTTGGATCCTTAGAAACTTCTCTAACAGTGATTTGACGATTGGCCAATACTATTTTATTCATATATTCGTATATCTCTCGTAATTACTTTTACAAGATTTGCAGTAACATAATAACAATAACAAGGTTAGTAAGGAACGTGTAGACCAATATGCGATGCATTAATGTTAAAATCTATATTCTCTGCTACTTAAAAAAAACTAAATTTCCTCTAAGGAAATATAGGGAAAAGCTTGAAATTTTCCGTTTTCTCAGAACCTGGGTCAACAAAATTTATAGGAATCGATTTTTATGATTTAATTTTCATTTAATCTTGAACTAAAAATACTGTGATAAAGCTGACTCCGGGATCGGATCCTGATCAGTACCATCGAAAACATAAAGATTAACTGTATTGAGCCCTATTTCTTGCTATTATAACGGTCTAAGCCTTAAAAAAGAGGATATGACCTATAAATGATCTCCCAATGACCTTTAGCGCTCGCTTTGACGAAAAGGTAAAAACGTATCTAAACGTGATATTTTCCGTTATTTCAGAGTTCGGCGACGAAAAATTCATAGCAATCAATTTCGATGGTCTGACCTTCATTTGACCTTGAAACTAGACATGCTTTAGTAAAGTGAACTACGGGATCGTGGTCAGTGATGCCGATAATATGATGATCCGTTGATCTCAAAAATGCTTCGTCCTGATTTCTTTTTCGAGTCCTGTTATTCTTATGTAATGTTAGTGTCAAATAGACATGTTAAAATATAGAATAAACAATTCTAATTGAAAAATCAACATTCAAATTATCAAAATTTTCTTAAAACTAGAAATATATTTAGTCTTGCATACTTACTGATGCTCAAAAATCACTAATTCTAATGTTTAATAAAATATATTTATTATATATCGGTATTATAATTTAATAAAATAAATATTATTTTCCTTTGTATCTAGAACCAGGGTGGATTGCAAGACACATATGAAGAAATTTCAGCCTGCTCTGAGGAGGTTATGTATCCAATATTAGAAGATATAGAAATTAATTCGGCTGATATAAAAATTTCAGAAGCATCTGCATTATCTGAAGTCGTAGTATGTCGCGAAGCTAATGAAAATTTAAATACTAATATCCAAGAAGAAGCATTTCAAGAAGCAAACAATTATGTATGTTCTGAAATGTTGGATTGTCAGTGGGATTTACATTCAAGAATTAATATTGGAACAGCTAATAAAGTAAGAAATTTTATTTGTCTTTTATAATAATTAATGTCTTGAATATAATAAATAAAAAATTCGAGTAGAATATAATCCCCTAATCGAGTGAAATGAAAGTTATTTAAAAAAAAATTAAATTTCATTGATATAGGATCAAGATCGATTAACAATCGTAGGGTTAATGTTCTAGTAACACTCCGCAACAAAATTATCGCAACAACATTTTTCATCGAAAAATTGCTATTTTTCAAATGTTTGTAACTCGGTCAATTTTCATCGTATTAATATCATTTTTTTTGTTTTGTAAGGAATTTCATGTACTTTTAGAGAAAAATAATTTCCAATAGCTGCGAGATAATACTATATTGCCATGTCTTCATCAGGCCTACTAACTTTTTTCTTGAAAAACGCAACGGTTTGCACGTTTACCTGGATTGGCAAAAAATTTTTCTCAAAAAACCACAAATACTGTCTTAAAGTACACTTTTCCACTAGTATTTAATAAAAATTCGACCTTCTACGATTTTTTTTGACCAAGTTATGCCATTTTAAAGATATACCTATGTTTTAGTCAAATACCGCCAAAATCAGTATTACTCGATACGTAGCCCTTAAAAATTACCAGATTACATTTAACAAATTTTTTTTTTTAATTAATCCATGACAAGTATAACTTTATTTAAAATTACACCACTACGTTTTTGTTACATTTAATATTGCACCTGCACACTTTTGGTAAAATTATCAACCCTGAACGACAAATCAATTAAAAAAAATTAAAGTAAATGTACAAGGCGGCATACTGGTCAAGAGTTAAGACAAAAGATCATTTAATGTTCATTTTATTATACGAGGTGTGTTCAAAAAGTAAGGTGACTTTTCAAATTTCTCGGGCAACGTACTTTCGATTATCGATTTTTTTGTTTTGTTATGTTGGTACACTTTTCCCGAACATCTGTACCAAGTTTCAAGTGTATAGCATTTTTTAGTTGGTTGTGAGAGGCGTAAAGGTTATAAGTGTTTTGCGTGCTCGGCGATTTCTTGCTATCGAAAAATATGGATCAAAGGATTTGCATCAAATTTTGTGTAAAAAATAAAATAAAATGCTTCGAAACACTTGAAATGTTGACGGTGGCATACGGTGAAACTGTTCTGAGTAAAAAAAATGTTTACAAGTGGTACAAACTCTTCCAAGATGGCCGGGAAGATGCCAATGACGAGCCTCGCTCTGGACGCCCAAGCACGTCAACAACTGATGAAAACGTTCAAGCAGTGAAGAAAATTGTTCTGGAAAATCGTCGAATCACTATCAGAGAAGTTGCTGAGGATGTTGATATATCGCTTGGCTCGTGCCATGAAATTTTTTCTAACGTTTTGGGCATGAGACGTGTGTCAGCGAAGTTTGTTCCGAAATTGCTAAATTTTGACCAAAAGAACCGTCGCATGAGCATCGCTCAAGAACTGTTGAATGACGTCAACGACGACCCAGATTTACTCAAAAGGGTCATAACTGGTGACGAATCATGGGTATATGGTTATGATATCGAAACCAAAGTCCAATCGTCCCAATGGAAGAGCCCAGATGAGCCAAGACCCAAAAAAGCACGCCAAGTTCGATCAAATGTCAAAGTTTTGCTCACTGTTTTCTTCGATTACCATGGCGTGGTGCATCAGGAGTTCTTACCATATGGACGTACGGTCAATAAACAGTATTATCTTGAAGTTATGCGCCGTTTGCGAGAAATAATACGAAGAAAACGCCCAGAATTGTGGAAAAACAATTCATGGCTTTTGCATCACGATAATGCCCCTGCTCACTCATCTTTGCTTGTGAGAGATTTTTTGGCCAAAAACAACACCACAATAATGCCTCAGCCACCATATTCACCGGATTTGGCCCCATGTAACTTTTTCTTGTTCCCAAAACTAAAGAGATCTATGAAAGGTCGGAGATTTGCAACGATTGAAAAGATAAAGACTGCATCGTTGGAAGAGCTCAAGGCTATACCAAAAAGTGCTTATGAGAAGTGCTTTGAGGATTGGAAAAACCGTTGGCATAAGTGTATTGTATCTGAGGGGGATTACTTTGAAGGGGACAACATAAATATTGTTAAATAAATAAATATTTTTTCTTAAAAATATAAAGTCACCTTACTTTTTGAACACACCTCGTACAAATTACATAGGATTACTACGAATGGAGAGGATCGCAACATTGTTAATGAAACCCTGCACAATCCAAGGTAGGTTGCGCAATAAATTGGAAATAATGCTTTACCAGGCAGACGAATTATATATGATCCTGTGAATGTGTTCTTGTAGTTTTGTTAGAAAACTAAAATTTTATACAGAATATAAGGAAAAAAAAATATTTTACTTAAAATTTGTCGGGGTATGGATGCTAAGGCCGAGGCGCTCATCCGGGAGTGGAGCTGTTAATGCATCTCGGAAGAGTATGGGCATGAGATCCCGCTACCTTCCTGCATTGTGCAGTTGTGAGATGAAGAACTATTCCCTCGATTGATGTGAGCTAAGCGATCACTGACTTGCAACTAGGCGCTCACTGAGGATCTTCGCTCTACTGCATTGAAATTTGAATCCACTGCTTTTGTGCTGGGATAAAAAATCTCTATTAATGAACTTTTGCCCTATATGAAATTTCGAATTTCAAAATCTGACACCAGCAAAGGGCTGGTCTTCAGATATCTGTGGCAAGCAGCGGAAGATTTTAGAAGAGGCGTCGCAATGGTGAGCCTGCGCATATACTTGTCGATCTACAATCTATAAAATCAACATATAATTATTTATTGCACTCTTCATGTTTTGTTATTACTTAGATCCAAGATTGGAAGAGTCAACCCTTCGTATTTGCTGATAAAAAGGCCAACAATTAAAACCACATCACTTCTCGGTAACGTTTCGTTGGCATGGTCACCAACCTCCTCAGATCTTTATTAATTCATAATATACATAATCAATATTAATTATAAATATGGTCAATACAAAATCACAAAATTAAAATTCTACTAACCAAATACATTTCTTAAAATTACATTCTATAAAACTCGACAAGCTTTTCGTCAATAAATAAATTCATGTCCACCGCGTAAGAACAAAACAAACACATATCAGACCATACAACATTTTGATCCAAAAAGTGATCATGTCATTAGTGAGATTGCACTAATAATTGAGCCGACCATAACTATATATATCCAGAAAAAACTAACGGTGGAAATGAATTTATTTATTGAGGAAAAGCTTGTCGAGTTTTATAGAATGTAATTTTAAGAAATGTATTTGGTTAGTAGAATTTTAATTTTGTGATTTTGTATTGACCATATTTATAATTAATATTGATTATGTATATTATGAATTAATAAAGATCTGAGGAGGTTGGTGACCATGCCAACGAAACGTTATCGAGAAGTGATTTGGTTTTAATTGTTGGCCTTTTTACCAGCAAATACGAAGGGTTGACTCTTTCAATCTTGGATCTGACTAATCAAAAATCAACATATCTTTTTTCTTCCAATAAACATTTGACTAACAAAATATGAGTAGTTAAAACTCGAATTGGCTTATTCATTGACACCAAGCCCGAAAAATAACAGATAACTCGAGCTATAGATTGGCCTAAGACCCTAATCAGCTTTGCTGGTCTCTGTTGAAATGATTTAAGAGAGAAGCTTAATTAGAGGATAGTTTCTCAATGTTAAATTAATTAGCCTCTGATTGAAGGACTTCAATTATTTCTAACTGATAATTATATATAATCATATTTTTGGAATTACGGAGTTGTGGTTCGATCCTGTAGTGAATGACAGTCTAATACATATTTCTATTTTGTTTTGCTAAAAAAATGATCATATGATCATAATATGAACGGTGGAAGCGTTGCTCTTTACGTAGGAAATGAATTTAAGATGATGAAACTGGTGTTTACTGAAACAGAAGGACCTAGGAAATCTGGTATCTGAGAATACCTATTCTGCAGCGTTTAATCGACCATTCATGATCGAATCATCATAAAAGACTGCATGAATAAGTGATTGGCTAGATTTGACAAGTATGCGAAGATAAATGGCACCAAGAAAGCAGATTGTTGGATAATTAAAATAATTTTTCTCTTTTGGATTCTTTCGAGCCAGTATTTATTTTATATGTCTTGTCAACGTTTCAGTTACATTATTTATCACTATTGTTAAGGCTAGCGTTGAAACAGACATACATGTAAATTAAATGATAACTTTGTAAATTCAATTTAACTTGTTAACAAAGTTAATCGAATAAAATAACAATTTCATCAAAAATTTATTATACGGAGATAAAATGCATATTAGAACAACACTATATGTGCTTTAACAGTAATATTGCAACGTGAACTAGTAATATACTAGTATAGTAATGTTCGGTTAAATAATACCGGTCTGGTAGACAAGAAAGGAATCGGACCTAAACCCGACGATTCGATATTTAACATACGAAAAGGTACAAATTAATTAAATAACAAAATATCAGTATATATGAGTCCAGAGTATCTGAAAAATGTCTGAAATTGAAAAAAATGTATTTCTTGTTTCTTAAAATGAAAAAGTTATTGGGAGTTTGTTTTGGTTTTTGTCATATTTCAATTTAAAAAAGAATAATGTAGAATTCAATATACGAGGGTCGTTTGAAAAGTCCGTGCAAAGTCAGAGTTATTTTTAGTCAAGGGTATTTTCAGTTAGTGGCATATCTTGGAAGAGCACACACCAAGTTTCAGCCAGATCGGCCAATTACTTTGCGTTTTACATTCGTTTCAATCAAAGAAATCGAGTGGTTGTAAAAAAATGGACGAAAAAGAATTTCGTGTATTGATTAAACATTACTTTTTCAAAGGCAAAACGCCTCAGGAGATTAAAGAGAAGCTTGATAAACATTATGGTGATTATGCACCTTCGATTAGAATGGTTTATAAGTGGTTTCAAAATTTTCGGAGGTTCCAGCAAAATCCGCAAGACTTTAAGCGTCGTTTC